TCACTTGTGCCGACCCAGATTTCCCCTAGGTCTGAGGCCGGTAACAAACACATGCTATAAAAGCGGATCCCAAACAATTATAACCTCTAAAACATAGAGAGAACTAAAGGATAGAACTTCACCAATTTTACAACGGGTCAAAAGTTAAAATTTATGAGTGCCAAATGTGAAAGTTAAGATAGATATTTAGTAAATGATTCACCGCATCACCTGAAATACACTCAAATAAAGATAAAAAATAACCTTTCAAACTTATGAACTATTCTATTTTTTAATTGAAGCTTCTGTTACTTTCATTTTAACCCACAACCTCTTTCTATGTATTACATTATGATTTATTAAACCATTTTATAATCAGCATTTTTTAATCTAGCTTTAAGATATATGTTGAATATTTTGAAAAAGCACACATACAAATAAGAATATCTTTAAACTGTTAGGATTGGCTTATATGTACTAACTTTAGAGTTTTATTTTATTATTTGATTTATTACTGGATTTAATCTAATTTACTAATTGCTAACTAACACAAATTTACTAATTCAATTTTGGCAATTAGACATTGAACTCATGCTATGTCCTCTTCTTTCTATGAGACATTAGATAAATGTTGTCAAGGACAACACTCAAACACACACATTTCTTATCACATCCAAGTGGAATCTGCATGGATTGGGAGCTGGCCTGATCTTGTCACAGGGTACTGGCCAATAAGACTCAGATGCGTCCAGCCTTCCTATTGTACAGACTAGGCCAGGCCCAAGAATACGAAGGTCCATTACACCTGGAAATCTTTTCTGGTAGACATCCTTAAGGAGATTTGTCAATGAAGGGCCCAGCACTGATTTACTTTACCTATGACCTGAATAAGTTAGACATTTGTACCCTGGTTTATTCTCAGGCTTTCAATAAAATAAATCTGGCAAACAAGACATAACTGAGTGTTCAGTCCCCAGCATGGAAATCCTCATTCAGGCCATGTGCGGTAGCCATTCTGAGAGGACACAGTTGACTTAGCTTGTCTTTGTGGATACCAGAATTTTCTGTGACGATGCATGCCAAGTGACTTTTGCCCCTCTCACACAGGATCAAATGTTGTAATAAGCTATTGATTTCCCCGAACTGTGGAAACAAACACTGGCAGAATGACATAACCTCATAGAGTAATTTTAAAATCTGTATCTATTTCACTAAAGAACAAGTAAATAAACTGTTAAGTGATGGTGAGATCATTGTTTTAACTCAAGTATATTTTGCTGGATGACCAACTGTAAATCCATGAGTCTGAGTGTATACCTCTGATCAGTTTTTGTGGTGAATTTCGATGAACAAATTGTCCTAATGGTCTGAAAATCAATAAAAGGGACAGTTAACATTTGCTACATTTGAAAACCATCAAGAACTCTCCTAAACATTCACTTGAATCTTTCACTATTTTACTTATATAATGAGATGCTCTGCAGAATAAGAATAATCACATTTTTCAAGAGATGTCAATAAATGAGGGTGTACTTATTGCTAGCCTGAGGCCATTTTCCAGTTGATTTAAAATGTGAGACCAAATTGCCTCATCAGCAGAGAGCCAGAGAGGCGAAAGGCACAGGGATATACAGTATGTTCTCGCATCATACAAACAAGACAATCAAGTAAGTCCTGTTTAGCCACAAAAGAGTCAATCTATGTCAAATGGATAAGAGGAAGAAAGGTAAGCTGCCTTAAAGCTGTAAAACAAAGCATTAACTATTAGAGGCCTTCAAACTGTATGTCAGTTTAAAAAAGGTGACTAATTCTAAGTTAATTATTTATTTTTTGTCTTTATGTTTTTGTTTACTCTCTTGTATTCATGAACAAAGCCTCATGTTAAATGTAAAGTCAGCTTTTAAAAAAAGGGTTAGGTTAAGCTCCTGTGTGATATAGTTTCTTAATGTTTATGCAGGATCTGGTAAAGAATTGCGACTGATGGTGGTAGGGAGCAGTGGACCCTCCCAGTTCCAGCTAACCAATTCCATACTAGGAAGGGAAGAGTTTGCCAAAGATGTCAACAGCATTTCCGCCAGCCTGAAGAAGACAGGAGAGCTGGCTGGAAGACGAGTGGTTGTGGTGAATGGACCAAACATCTATGAAAAGGATATATCTCATGTAAAGAGGAAAATGGAGCTGAGAAGATCTAAGTGCTTATGCATACCCGGTCCTCATGCCTTTCTTGTTGCCTTTGACATGGAGAATATCTCCCTAAATGACATGAAAACGGCCAGACTCCTGAGGGGACGGTTTGGAAGAAACTGTGAAAAACACTGCATGGTTCTCCTGGCCTACGAAGGACACCAGGATAAAGCTGCTTTGGAAAACAGGGTGAAGAAGACTGACTGGTATCTGAGAGAACTGATCGAGGACTATGGCGGACGCTTTCACGTTTTCAGCAAGAACTGGAGAGACCGAAGTCAAGAGCGAGAGCTCCTGCAGAAGATAGATCTGATGGTGGCTTCGCTTGGGGGGTGTAACTTCTACAGCAGAACCTTCAGAAAGGCGGAAGGCAGTGTTCAGAAGGAGGAAAAGAGGCTGAGGAGGCAGAGGACAGAGGAGATAGAAAGGACATGGGACGAGATGGAGAAGCACTACGTGGCAGAGGAACTGTGTTTCCAGAAGGATACTTACATTACAAAGATTAGCGCAGAGATCCGAGCCAAAGCAGAGCTCGACAACGGATGGCTCAGAACATCCCTGGCCAGAGGACTGGGGACAGGTTTGGTCGTGGGGGCTGCGATTGGGGCACTCTTTGGATCTATTGAGGGCCCAGGGGGGATGGTTTTCTTTGGTACAATAGGTGGGGCAGTAGGCGGATCGGCAGGAGGAACTGCCCAGGTGGCAATAAAGCACATGGAAAACAGAGTGGCCCCACCTGCCAGATATAACTTCAATTCAATCTTCATCAATCGCTTCTTTGCAGCTTCCCGCAACTGACGGTGCCATTAGATTACAGCTCCAACTTCCGTCAGAACAGAAGATACCTTTTAAATGTCAGGAAAAACCTCCTCCGATGCTTAGGATTATAGGTCACATAGCCTATTATAACTAATATGATGTCATTGTTTATTGTGAATCAGACTTCAGTCCTGCATTGTTTGTTCTTCTGGGAGGTAGTTTATCGAAATCAAAGCTTTTGTGTAATTCTGAGGAGATCTACCATATGTATAAATACATTTTTAAAAGAGTTCAGCAGTTTTTTGGTGCGAGTCTTCTCTTTTTTAGCCTAAAGCATTTCCTGGTGTCTAACAATGAGTAAGTTAAAGTGTGGCTCACCTGACACACTGGGTGGAGTCTGATATTTACCCTCACCGCCCCTTTGCTAGACAGCACACATACCTGAATGCAACTATTCAGTGGGAACAGGTGCAGCCTCTTTACAGGTTTTACTTGGAACACTGTGTACAACAGATACTCTGCGGAAAAGATCGACTGGCATTGGTAAGAAAACATGTAATTCAAAATTTTCTCTGTCGTTACTAGTGTTTTTCCTTTGTGAAATGTTGTGAATTGTATGTTTTTCTGTTAATCTCCTGAGTAATTTATGAGCATGTTACATAACCCGATACTGCTTCAAAAGTCAGTACAATGTACACAAGGCTACGGAAGGAGACATAAATAAAGTCAGAAATCTTAAGACATTTAAGTGTATTTTGTGCCGAGTTGGATCTACCTCATTGATAGCAACCTGTTTGACGACATATTTATCTGCTTCTGTTCTCTGTTTCTGTTTCCCTCTGTTTTTTCTTACCTTGATAAGAAGAAAAGAATTCCCATGCCTTCGACACTGACTATGAACACGCATTATAGGAACATAGAAAGGCAGGATTCAGTTCAATAGAATACTTTTTTCTTAATAATAACAGCATAATTATTAATGATCAAAGAACATTTAATCACATGTTACGATTTTATTACATAAACATCAGTGAAATTGATAAAGAGATTTTTTGAGATTTAAAGTATTTATAGAGCTTGAACAATGTAATTTTCTGCTACATTGTCACCTTTATAAAACACACATTTATTCATTTAACAAAGGCTGCAATCTTGAGTGTTTTAATGTCTATTTTGGCCTACAGTGTAAAACTAACCGCAAATGTTCAGAAGGCTCACTATACATTGATGGAAGTATAATGATTATATATCTAAATTGAGTCATACATTCAATTTGCACAATGTGAAACTGAGAATTCTATTTTTAGTTTTTTTTTTTAAGTTTTAGTTTAGAATGGACTTGGCAGGTGGATAACATCACAGAATCAAAACCACTGCTGAGGACCACCAAATTCTAGACCTGTCTAGTCCAGTATCTCTGAATTGGTCACAGATCCAGATAGAAGAATAAATAATTATGTTTATGTAACGATTAAGAATGATGGTGTTCAGTTCTCATCACATTGCCTGAATGTATCGTTGTTCAAAACATCACAACCTGACCAACATAACCAGCTTCTACAACTTCAATATAAAGCGTAAACAAAATGAAGTCAAAAAGGGTGTCTTTACTTGTTTTGCTTCTTAAAAGGTTACTGTTGTATTGATTATTTGTGTTTCTTTTACATAACCTCGTTAACCAGCAATTGATATCCTGTGTTCATTTTCAGAGTATGGCCACCACCATCAGTCTCCTCCCCGAAAAGCACTTTTTGTGTTCTCTGTGTAGAGGCATCTTCACCAACCCAGTGACTACACCATGTGGCCACAGCTTCTGTTTGTCCTGTCTCTGCCAGTACTGGTCACGACACCTGTCCAGGTACTGTCCCGACTGTAGGAGAGTGTTCACTGACAGGCCTGACCTCAGTGTCAATCGCATTCTGGCAGAAGTGTCTGACAAGTACAGGAAGGCTCAACCTCAGAAACCACCTGATGAAGAGAAGGTACTCTTTTGCTTTTGACAGTTTTTAAATCACAGCTGATCAAATCCAGTAAGATCTAGTTTTACTGTGTGTGATATTAATATAAGTGACGCATGTGCACAGGTTATAGATGTTGAGCAAATGATTCAGGAAAGGCTGCAGAAGATAGAAAGGCTGAAAAAGTCTCTCGACCTTCAAAAGGTGAGCTAAAATTTTCATTGAACAACATAATTAAAGAATTGTTTATTCCCTAAAATATTCAGTGAATGATGATGATTTTCACTCAGAGCTCCTACCTCCGCGAGGTGCGGGAAAGCCAGAAAGTCTTCTCTGCTCTCGTAAACGCCATGGAGAAAAGCCACAAAGCAGTTGTAGCTGCCATTGAAGAAAAACAGAAAGAAGAGGAGATGAAAGTGGAGAAGTATATAAAAGACATCAAACAGGAGATCCAGGAGCTCAAAAGTGAATCCAGTGAATCGGATCCTCTGGTTTCTGGTGACCAAAATGATGACCCAAAGCAAGTTGTCATGGTAAATAACCTCATATACGGCAGGCAACACCATCATGATGTTTTGGCTTTAGTTTTATGGAAAAACTGATTAATGTTTGCGTTTTGTAGCCCTCTGAGATGAAAGACTGGTCCAAGGTTATCATTGAAACAGACCCATGTATTGGAGTCACCAGAAGAGCATTGTCAGACGTCCTGGAGAAAATTAAGGTTGAAGTCAACAGACTTGCAAAAGCTGGTGAGTAATATTGTCTTTAATGTTGTGTATTTATTCCAGATGATGTATCATAACTTTTGTGAAAGTAACGCCTCTTTTTCCTGTTGCTTTTCCTCAGAACTGAAAAGAACAGAAAAATACACAGGTATGTTTCTTTTTCTATGTGGAAAAAAACATTTTATATATTGTCTGTGGAGTGTAAGGTGACATGGTTTTACTCATTCTTTACTTTTAACCATCCTGTCTCTTAGTGGATGTCAGCCTCAGTGCCAAAACTGCCCACCCCTTCCTTTACGTCTCAGATGACAGAAAGCAGGTGAGGCACACTGACAAGCTCCAAGAAGTGCCAGATCATCCAAAGCGCTTTGACCGTGTGGCCAATGTGCTGGCCAAAGAAAGCTTCTGCAGCGGGAGGTACTACTGGGAAGTGGAAGTCGGGGATAAGATTGAATGGAACCTGGGTGTTGCCAGACAGTCCATAAACAGGAAAGGCAAGTTCACTGTCTGCCCTGCCAATGGTTTCTGGACTTTAAGCCTGAAGGCTGGAGGCCAGTATATCGCCAACACCTCGCCTGTCACCTCGGTGGCTCTGGAAAATCGACCCAGGAAGGTGGCCGTCTTCCTGGATTACACCGAAGGCCGAGTTTCCTTCTACTGTGTAGACTCTGGAGTCCACATTCACACCTTTATGGATAAGTTCACTGACAGACTGCATCCGTTCTTCAGTCCCGGTCGCTTGCACGGTGGCAAAAATGCAGCTCCCTTGATCATCTCTTCCAGTTTTTGTAGCATCTGAACAGCTGAATGTCTTTTTCACTATTTATGTATTATGGTTAGTTTATATGTACTTGTGTGTGTAAATTAATTAAAAAATGAATTTGACAGTCCCCATCGAACCACATATTGGCAATGGACATTGACAAAGAGGGCGTATGAGGACTGACTCCTTGAGATCTTCAGTGACAAACATAAACAGATTGAAAAGAAAGAAAACCATTATAGAGGAGAAAAGGCTCCCATAAGTGAACAAATGAGTGAAATAAGAGGAGAAAGAAGGGATTGCTGGCTGGATGGACGTGTGGGGCAGCAGAGTTGGGACAGAGGTTGACGAGGTGCTGGGAGGGAGGGCACAGCCAAACAGCAGGGTATTGTGCCCGTCCACCAGGCACTGGGAGACACACTCAAACACATTCACACACTGACACGGTGGCGCACACAAGCGCATGCTTCTGCCCACTGCCACATAGACTTGTGCTGGCATCTCAGCGGGCAGCCCCATCCTCAGTCCAGTTCAGTCCCGGGCACTGAAGTCGACCACTTGTCTTAGGCACACTTCACCTGAACTCTCTTTCGGAGCCTCCCAGCTCTGTGGTCTTCCTGTTGACTGATCTGAATACTCAGGGCGTTCACAAATCCAGACATCCACTGCTGGAAGGACGAGTAAATAGACACTGACCTGTGGACCGCCATCAAGGAGACGCAGCAAAAGACTGGGACACTTGATTAGAGGTAAATTTCCTTCACTGGATGCAGTGCATGAAGGGACTTCTAATGCTTTTACCATGACTTAAGCAATACCTGTAAAATGACGTAATTTGTTGTTAATCTTCTATTGTATGTTTAATTTTGCCAGTACTGTACTATCCCTATGAGAAGGATGTTGGAGACTTATGTGTGTTATATTATCAGTAGCCATTGTTCCATTGTAGTGCCTACATAGTTTCATGTTGGAGCCTTTTAGGCACTTTCAAAGGGTCAATGGAGATATTAATTTCCGTGATCTCACCCACAATGTTTTGCAACAACGGGAGAATGAGTTTTACTATTGAATAGATTCACGTTTTTAATCCTTTAATGCAAGGATTGGTTTCTTTGTGAGTTATAATCTCACAGATAAGTCTCCTGTGGATGTATCCCATTACAAAATACAATCCACACGGTAGGCTTTTATTATCAAAGTCAAATGAGAGCTGTGATGAAAAGACGACACGGGTCCATCTGGCCCACTCTACAAGCTTTCATGAAAGATGCTTGTGTTCAGAATCTCATCATGTTTTTCTGAGATAATCCACTCACCCGGCAAGGCGTAGCTCGACACCCACAGCTGTGTCAAAGAGAACTATTCTCTGTCGCTTTCAGTGGAATCCACTTAACATGGGCCTCTCAGCCTGTCTCCAACTATTTATGATAAACATATGCTCCATTAGTCTTTTCGTACTTTACTAACAAATTGACATCTGAACTATACAGTTTTTGTTTTCAACAGTCAGATTTGCTGAGGTGCTGTTTTGACTTGTATATACCTAGAATGGTTAGACTTTTCTGTATTATCTGAATTTCAGGTCACCTGTCCTCATCTAAACAAAGCTGACCTCATCGACAACATCACTACAGACTGAGAATCCAGAAGTGGACCCCATTTCCAAATACACAAACTGTCCCCCTTTCTTGTGGGACAATAAGTGGACATTCTGCAAAAGAGACTGATACAAACCCAGAGACATCCATCTGCGTCAAACAACACCTTTACCATGGCAACCACGGGCATGCAGTTGCTGGGCCTGATTATGTCCATCGCGGGCTGGGTGGGAGGGGCGGTAGTGGTGGCTGTCCCCCTGTGGAGGGTCTCTGCCTTCATCGGTAACAACATAGTGACAGCTCAGATCATTTGGGAGGGCCTTTGGATGACATGTGTTGTGCAGAGTACAGGTCAGATCCAGTGTAAGGTGTATGATAGTTTGCTGGCTCTGCCCAGTGACATGCAGGCTGCCCGTGGCCTCACCGTGTTCTCCATCCTGCTCTGTGGCTTGGCTCTGACTCTCGGGGTCCTTGGAGTCAAATGCACTAAATGCATAGGTATAAACAGCCTCAAGGCCCGTATTGCTCGTATTTCTGGCGCACTTTTTGCCATTGCCGGGTTCCTGTACCTTGTGCCCGTCTGTTGGACTGCCCATTCCATCATCAGGGATTTCTATGACCCACATGTGGCGGCTCCACACAAGCGCGAGCTTGGCCCTGCACTTTACATTGGCTGGGGAGCGTCAGCCTTTCTTCTGATTGGGGGATCTCTGCTCTATGCAGGGTCAAGTCCCCCTGGCATTCCAGGCTCTCCCACCTTCAGCAGTGGAGAAAGTAGTCCCCGCAGGGCACCTGCCGCACAGGTCAAAGGTTACGTCTGAATGCCATCAAGTTCCACAAATTCCCCCCAAATGAAGACAAGCCTTTAGTCGTTCCTTTTGAAAATTCTCTCTGTCATTATTTACATGTAATGTTACTCCTGTTTGTTTTTTTCCTTTGAAACGACAGAGGAGGCTGTATGGGGAACTTTTAATTTATTTCACCGTTTCATATCTGATATCATTCAATAACCGTTTTTTTTGTGTCTGTAAAATCCAATAAAAAGTTATATCCTCTGCTGAGGAAAAATGTGTGAGTTCACATTTTTACAAATATAAAAACTCTTTAAAGAAATCTCAGTATTTTTGTGTTTATTAAGTATAGTAGTTGTATAGTACTGCACTAATAATAACAGGTTTTAAAAGAGAAAAAATATTCATTTTTAAACCCTTCTCCTCTTCTGCTTTTCCTGACTTGAGAAGAACAATAGAACAATGGAGATGTTTGTACATTTGCTTGTGGCGCTATACTGTTGAGAGGAGTGTGTGTGCGTGTGTGTATGCTGCATGTTGTCGTATCTTCCATCTCTCATTTCCTGTCTTGCTTACTCTGTATCAGGGCAAAGAAAAATACATAGCTTCTAATTCCCTGTTTAAATATCCCGGTACTCTTTTACAACAGCACAAAACTTAAACAAGCTGATCTCAAAGCTCTCTATGAATTTACTCAACTAAATTCCAAGTTTAATTAAAATATTGTAGATATTCCACCTGGTAATGCGACATTGTGCAGAAACATAGTCAACTCTGAATGCACTGGTGTGCATCATCAGTTCATGCCTTTCCACCGGTCATGTAGGTCATTATAAGGGACATAGGAAAACAATATTGTGAGATATTGTTCCATTCCCTCAGACAGAACTCTTTTACCATGGATTATATAATCATCAATAGACAGTCAAAACCATTTTAGTGTTTGTTGTTACCAAGAGCTGTCACTTTAAATGTTGTTTCTAAAAAGCTGAAACATTACCAGACAATGTGCTGCAAACTTCAAATGTTGATCACCAGTTTTTTTGTAATTTCTGGCTGTGAAAACAGTAGACAGACCAACACAATACCACTGTACAGAGCATTACTGCACCCCATTAACAATGGCCGCCAGTGTTCCAAGTGCCAGGTAGTGACTCATAAATGACCTAAGTGGGCCTGTAGCAGGGATGGTAGAGTAATGCTGTGAATACTCCAAGTCTGTTGTATTTTACAGTCTTCGATGATGCCAACATTGCTCTTGTGACAATAATAAAACTGAATCATTCACGTATTTGCAGGGAGTTCAGCCATCTACAGTAGTAGACAATAACAACTCACCTGAGATCTAATTTTAGTCACACTTTCAATCAATTCAATGATTATAAAGACTACTTTTTGAAAGTGTAATTGAGTGTTTGGGGAAAATGTTGCATCACTATAGTATAAAAAGAGCATGTTTAATACACAATGGCCTTTCCTTTGTCTCTGAATTAGGTTAAGGTATTTAGAAAACAAATGCACACAATTATTGCAAGTTTGAATAATAGGGTTGTGTATTTTTCTCGACATAAAAGACTTTGTATTTGAAAAACAACTTTAAGTTTTGTTTGTTTATATTTCACACTTGATATAAATGCATTATTGTTTAATCAAGTAAAGATTTAATCAGCAGGATACTCATTACATAAATGCTCATTATGTGGCAGAACCTCTGTCATTGTTAAATGATAATGTTTTATTATTCAGTAGTAATGAACTATAACCCCGAGGTGTACAGCTACACCTTATCTGCCTTCCCAGTGGTTGTACTGAGTATCTTTTATCATGTTAAATGAATCTGGACAGAATATTTTAATTAAAATTCTTGTAACCCCACTGAACAGCTGCGTCAATGGTTTCTTTTACACATTACTGTTGAGACTAAACAAGATTTCCTAGGTCACAGACCTGTTTTTTTTTTTTTTTGCTATATCAGGTCTTGAGCAGTTTAATGGGCTAATTTATATTCTGCTGAGTTTGTATTGCTGATTACAGGAGTAAAATGCAACATTCTCCCGATCCTTTCTTGTTTTCCATCTGCTGTAATTGTAATTATATAAACTCGTCGATAGAGGGAGATATTTAATTGCTAACCCCTTTCTGTACCGGAAGCAGGAAGTAGGAAGAGGTGTACCTTAACTTTACAGCTGAGCTAACAGATAAGCTACAGGCTACCAGGCTAACCGCAACGGTGAAAATATCAGCCTTCGTCGCGCAAACTAAAGGTCTAGACAGCAACTGTGAGACATTGAATCAAAAATGGGAAAAGGTGGTGGAACATTTGAGAGACTTCTCGGTAAGTTAACTCCACGCTTGTCAAGTTGATAGTTTGTAATCCAACTGTAAGTCAAAAGTGCGACGTTTTGCGGCGTATTGTTTTGACTGTGGCTGGGGCTGTGGCTCCCAGGCCAGCTAGCTAATAGTAGCCTGCTAACATTATCGCTGCTATTGTTCGGCCACTTAGTGGGACTAACTCAATTTATCGTCAAGATTTGTGAGTCGACAGATTGAACCTTCTGTACCATCTTTACCCGAGGTGCAGGCACATCTACATTGTGACGTCAGTTAAAGCAAACCATCTTGACTACAATAAGATGTCTTCATATCTGCTCTACAGTATCATTAGCTTTTGTTACCCATCTTAAGTGACTCACAGTTTTTATGGATATGTCCAGGAAACTTATGGTAGCCAAACACAACAATGTCTGAAATGTAAGATCCATGACTCGTTATGTTTTTAGGATCCCAACAGGTGGAATATATCCCTGTCAGATAAAAATGGCCACTAATCTGTAATCTATCAATAGATCGTCGTTACTGTCCCATTATAGTTCGTTGTTGGAGTGTACGTCAGATGGCAAACGTCAGTGTTCCCGTTACAGCTCAAAATAGTCCCACCATACACTTGAAGCGTCATTCTAAAAAACACAAAATTCGTAAATAGGTTGCTTTTTCCCCTTGTTCGTGCAGTTACAAGATGACTGCCAGTATTAACAGACAGAAAAGATTTTTAAAAAGAGTCATATTAATATTTTCTTTTTGTAATCATAACAAAATAGTTATGTAGCACCCCTCTGTAGAAAACAGACAGATTACAAAATAGTCAAATGTATTGTTTCGATGATGATGCTACAAGATTTTAGCCTCACCAGTATTACAACACCTATAAAATGTGATGAAATGTGTTCTTAGACCGGAGACTGAACATCTGTTGTACTTTCGGGGCTTTATCCTGCAGGTAGCAGCTTTTAGAGCAGAGGACCATAAACATAATCATATTCATAACACAATAGTACATTGTTGATATAAACATTCCAGCCACTTAGATGATGTTAGAATTGGTCGTTTTTGTGTTAGGGTTATTTGGGATTGGAATTCAAGTTACATTTAAAGAGTACAGGTCATTTCAGCTCTGAGATTCATCAATTTTTTGTGAGATTGTATTATGGTAGAAAGGAATACTTTTTGGAAGCTTTTGATACCCATGAAAAGGATTTAAACCACATCCAAATAATTCTGAGTTAACTGTCTGTATTTTGGGGCTTTCAAGTTGTTACCCTCCAAGGTCACTCCATGGATAATGTTTGTAAAGTGCTCAAGGTCATAAAGAAAAATCCAGACTAACTTCTAAGCAACCTATGGTCTGTCTGACTTTGATGAATGTTACCATTAATTTGTCCTTCACCAGAAGAACTCGGAACAGCAATGTTATGCATGGCAGGAAGGAGAAAACCACAGTTTACCTGAAAGAAAATACCATCTCAAAACAAATAAGACCACTACAGAGCAGTTTGGTTTCACATTGGAAGGATTGTGTTTAGACTTAGAGACTTAGACTTAGACAGTACTTTATTGATCCCTTGGGAAGACTTATAGAAGACTTATAGAAAGATAAGAGACAGATTCCATTTTTTAAGCATGTTCGTTGGAGTAAAATGGTTTTAGTTGCTTGGGTCAGCAATGACTATAATTAGGTATACATGTATATTCTGTTCATGAGCCAAATCTGAAGAGACGGTGTTCAGCAGCCCGTGTTGTTATATACAAGATTAAATCTAATGTTTTGCAGTCATGAAGTCAAAGTCCTGACCACCCCAATCAATACACAATTGCATGGAAATGCCAAGAAGATCAGTCCAGACTTGAAGCTGTTTAGTTTGAATAATTAAGCAGCCTATTTCGAAGCTCTTACGGGACTCTGGTTAGCAGTTACTGGAAACATTTAGTTATAGTTGTTGATGTCGAAGGGCTCACAGCAGAATTATTTAGACTTTTGACATATTTTTTGTGCTTACTACAGATAAAGCCACAAGTCAGCTGCTTCTGGAGACTGACTGGGAGTCCATTCTTCAGATCTGTGATCTCATTCGACAGGGCGACACGCAGTGAGTTATTCTAAAGTCTCCCTTCAGACTTCATATCCACAGCTGCTGTGGTTGAAAGAAGCCCATTTTAAAATGAAGTTTATTTTTTAAAACAAAGTGAGCTGAAGTAGTACCCATTGTTTACTGTCTTACCCCCCAAATTTCACTGAACACTATACATTTCTATCTTTTTAGAGCTAAATATGCTATTGGGGCCATTAAGAAGAAGCTGAATGACAAAAATCCACATGTGGCCCTTTATGCACTTGAGGTAAGACATTTTCATATCAAACGGTTTCCTTTTAACATGAGTAGTAGGTTTAACAATACCAGTACGCGGCTTGTTACTAACAGCAATGCAGACTATGGGAAGTAGAAAGATATGGTGGCCTTGCTCGTCGTTTCAGGTCCTGGAGTCGGTGGTGAAGAACTGTGGACAAACTGTGCACGATGAGGTTGCCAGCAAACAAACTATGGAGGAGTTAAAGGATCTCCTTAAGGTGACATTGAACGAAATAGTTAGGTTAAACGGTTTAACATCATGTCCCCAGTGTTTTGCCTGAAGTTGCTGCAGCAAGGAACCTGGAAAGAAAAAGATCAAAGTTTTTTTTTTGTTGACAGAAAAATGTTTGTTGCAGTGGAACGGAGGAAGCCTCTGACTAAGCGCCCTTTGATTTAGTTTGATCACATTAGATTATTCATAAGTTGGATTTAATTGTTTGTTTTTTAGCAGCTTTTGCAACTGTCTTCTTTTAAAGAATAATTGGCAGAGCTGTCTCTAACTTAGGGCCGGTCTTACTCAGAAGCTTGTTAATTTTCCTTAAGCCACTGCCTCTGATACTGCTAAAAGGTCTTAATGCTTTTGCTCCATCCTTCCTGACTCAGCTTTCTGATCATAGATTTCTCAATGCTGCCTGTAGTACAGTACAAGCTAGCAATATTTGATTGGGTCTGGGTGTAGCATGTGACTGTGGAACCATCACCATTGTTGGTTTCAACTTCCTGATGATGTCATAGTCTTGTGACTGGAGTGTTTTCACTCAGAAGAAAAGGGACTTCCCACCTCCCAGCTCACCATCTAGCTCAGTGTCTTAAATTCAGTCTGAACATTCTGGGGACCCAAATATTGTATAGAAGCAAAATGAACTTGAGTTTAAAAATGCATTTCCCTTCCTCAAGAAACAGACAGAGGCAAATGTCCGAAACAAGATCCTGTATCTGATCCAGGCCTGGGCTCACGCCTTTCGCAATGAACCCAAATACAAAGTGGTTCAAGACACATATCAAATCATGAAAGTGGAAGGTGAGTGAGCTTTAGCAGTGTTGGTTACAGTTATTTGCTGCTCTTCTCTCTTTACAGGCATGGAAAGTAAATGTTGAGTATTAATTGCTTTCTTCCTTTGCTGAACAGGTCATGTTTTCCCCGAGTTTAAGGAGAGTGATGCCATGTTTTCTGCAGAAAGAGTGAGTTTTCTTTTTTCATCAAATGTTTTTATTTTATACTTCGGCACTGTTAAGACTAGACTTCAAAGATAAATACATCTGTGGAAGTTCTGTGGTTCTTTTATCTCTTGTAATGTTTGTGACGTTGGCTTTTCGCAGGCCCCAGACTGGGTTGATGCTGAGGAGTGCCACCGGTGCAGAGTCCAGTTTGGAGTTATGACAAGAAAAGTAGGCTGGGCTTTCTTGCAACTAGGGCACACAATTTCTTTCACCCCATTGAAGGAACTTGTGCGGACTACATGCCTACAGCTACAGACCAGAAACTGACCTGGATTTGTCTCTCGTGCTTTTCTAGCACCACTGTCGAGCCTGCGGCCAGATTTTCTGTGGGAAGTGTTCCTCTAAATACTCCACCATCCCAAAGTTTGGCATCGAGAAAGAAGTGCGTGTGTGTGAGCCGTGCTTTGAGCAGCTCAACAAGTGAGTTCATGGACACAACAACACAATTACCAGAGCTAGTGTGAAAACACAACACATGTATCTGTTAAATGCAATCAGTGTGTCAACTCTGTTAGCAATAGCATGTCCATACATACACATACTTGAATTATTAGTTTTTTTTGTTTGTTGTTTTCCTCTCCCAAAGGGAACTAAGAAAGGCAAATGTAGGCAAATTAACCCTCATAATGTGTTTACAGCGGTGCTCTTTAATATATGCAGTGCCATTGCTACCTTTACCATTTGTTACTATTGGCCTGAATGAAATAATGCAGAACTCTTCCACAAGTTCTGTATCAGCAGCTTTTAATCCACAAGATATATAAAGACGGCAGTGAAAACGTGCCAGACAGGGGAATCCACAGAGAATGTAGAAATGTATATTGTACAACCACATGGGTCATATTCTGGGTAAAAGTTGAATTTAGCTATCCACAATCATTGACCCATACGAGTGCCAGACGGAGTCCTCTAGTTAACAGCATTGGTAATTCAAAGCTGGAACACATTCTGCCCCCCCCCCCACATTCTGTTCCGAACATGCATAGACTTGCAGAACCTGAAGTGCTGTCTGTATGAGCATAGACCTGTAAATCTACTTGTAAATGTCTAACTTTTTTCATGTTTATGGAGAGTTTTTGGTGTTCTGTACTCCCTGCTTTCCTCTGACTTCTAAGACTTTGTCCTCCCTGATCCCTTTTCCTCACCAGCCACCCCTCCCTCTCTCCTCCACTTAGGAAAGCTGAAGGCAAAGCCCCTTCTACAACCACTGCTGAGCTGCCACCTGAGTACCTGACCAGCCCGCTGTCTCAGCAGTCCCAGGTAGTTATTTCTGAAAACTCTCTTATTTTTCCTTCACAATTAGCTCCTTCCTCAGAGTTGAAGACTCTCATTTGTGATACCTCTTTTTTTTCTCCACTCCCTCTTCTGTGTCTCATCGTAACTGCTGTTAATGATTAGATGCCCCCAAAGAGAGATGAAGCAGCCTTGCAGGAGGAGGAGGAACTGCAGTTGGCCATTGCACTTTCCCAAAGTGAGGCAGAGGAGAAGGAGCGGATGGTGGGCAACACGTCTGAACGTTTTCTTGAATATTCACTACTGGTGGGAAACAAGTAACTGAAACATTGCTGTATGGTCACTTTACAGAGGCACAAAAACTCTTACTCTGTGTATCCCAAAACTGATCCCACACCGGTGACTTCCTCCGCACCACCAGTCAGCACCCTTTATACTTCCCCTATGGTAAGATCAAAACTGAAACGGACAATATGAAACTACCTGCACTCTTTTGAGTCATGTTTTTACAGCTCTGTCCACAGCTGCTTATTTTAGGAGGTAGAATGAGCCTTTTGTTTTCATCTCATCCTTCTCATATATTTGGGACTCTTAGTGGAATATCCCTGTAATAGCATGCAAATATGTTTGGATGCAAATTAGGCTCAGTAACATCTCATATCTGCCTGAAAGCATATAGTAGCTGGTATTTCATGTCAAACGTGGCTCTCTTTGCTTACTGTCCTGATCCCTCTTAAAGGGTAAATCAAATTTTCTGTCATATTTTTATCTAACCTGGGTTGATAGAAATTTAGGTTATGAATGTTTTCACGGGTTAACCAATTTCAAATATTTCTGCATTGCAGAACTCTTCTGCTCCATTGGCTGAAGATGTGGACCCAGAAGTATGTGACATAAAAGTCTTTGATTTTAATATTCGTATCATTATTATTATTATTACCGGACGCATATGCCTTCTGTGCATGTGACTGTGTCATGTAATTCCAGCTGGCCCGCTACCTGAACAGGACATATTGGGAGAAGAAACAGGAAGAGGCCCGGAAGAGCCCAACTCCCTCAGCCCCTGCCCCAGTGTCCCTGGCTGAGCCTCCTCCACCAATCAGCCAGCCGGTAGAGAGCCACGTCCCTGTTCAGCCCGTCAGCATAGTGGAGGTGAATGTCATCGCACTTACTTACTATATTTGTGCTATTATCAAACTGAAGGGAAGTGGGCTAAGAATCAAACTCTACTCACTGGCTTCCTGTAATCCCCGCTTTCAGCAGCAGTACCAGAACGGTGAGTCAGAAGAGAACCATGAGCAGTTCCTGAAGGCTCTGCAGAATGCTGTGACCACCTTCCTTAACCGCATGAAGAGCAACCACATGCGTGGGCGCAGCATCACCAACGACAGCGCAGTGCTCTCGCTCTTCCAGTCTATTAACAACATGCATCCACAGTTATTGGACATCCTCAACCAGCTGGATGAAAAACGATGTGAGTATTAACTGTGTGATACACACACACACGCATATATATATATATATATCCACCTTCCTTTGTGTGATAAAACGTGTCTTGTTAGTGTATTATGAGGGACTGCAGGACAAACTGGCTCAGGTGCGTGATGCTCGGGCTGCTCTGAACGCCCTGCGGGATGAGCACAGAGAGAAGCTACGCAGAGCTGCAGAGGAAGCCGAGAGGCAGAGACAGATCCAGCTGGCACAAAAACTGGAGATAATGAGGCAGAAGAAACAGGTAATCTCTCCGAAAAAAGAGATGATTTCACCGTTCCCAGTCTCTTACTTACTTACAAGTTTGTTGTTGGATTTCAGGAGTATCTGGAGATGCAAAGACAGCTGGCTATTCAGCGCCTCCAGGAGCAGGAGAAGGAGAGGCAAATGCGTTTGGAGCAACAGAAGCACACTGTCCAAATGAGGGCGCAGATGCCTGCTTTCTCTCTGCCTTATGCGCAGGTACAGACTTCGTCACCCCTTCAGCCTCTGACTCACTGGAAAATAATGTCGACACCTCTCCTATTTGGACAAACATTTGATAATAGCTATACGTGTTCCTCGCAGATGCAATCTTTGCCCCCCAATGTTGCCGGGGGGGTGGTATACCAGCCTGGTGCTCCACCAAGCTACCCAGGTACTTTCAGTCCTGCCGGTTCTGTGGAGGGTTCCCCTATGCATAACATCTACATGAACCAGGCAGGGCACACTACACCAGGACAGTACCAGGCCATGCCCAGTGCTGCTACAGGTGAGCTTGCTCACAGGACAGGAACAGTTGTCAATAGCGTTGCGACTCAGAAATGTTCGCTTATGTTGTTTTTCACAAATGCTGCTGTGTGACTCTCTTTTTTTATTTATTTTTTTACTTCATATAGATCCCAGTATGGTGAATGCATACATGTACCAGGCTGCTGGTACCAACGGGCAGCCTGGCCCTCCTCCAGGCCAGGCCCCACCCACAGCTAGTCCTCCCTACTCCAACTATCAGCCCACACCCACACAAGCCTACCAGGTACTACTGACCTCAGTTCAGTGGCCAGTGAGATTTAGCGCCACTAATGTTTACTTATTAATTGTTGTGTTTTTTTTGTACAGAATGCGGTCTCTCAGGCACAAAGTATGCCTCCCATGTCACAGGCAGCCCCTACCAACGGTATGGGTTACATGAGTTACCAACCATACAATATGCAGAATATGATTTCAGCATTGCCGGGACAGGATCCCAACATGCCCCCCCAACAACCGTACATGCCAGGCCAGCAGCCCATGTACCAGCAGGTTAGTTGTCTATCAATTTTTTCTTTTAACCAGATGTAAGCAAACTGTTTTTTAACGCATGATTTTTTTTTATATACTCTTCATAGGCTTCTGTTTTTTCCCCCCTCAGTCACAATCTTGACCAGTCTTTCAAATCTTCCTTTTGTATTTGTGGTAGGTTGCTCCCCCCGGTGGCCCGCAGCAGCAACAGCAGCAGCCGCAGCAGCAGGTACCTCAGGCTGTCCCCGGCAGTGCAGAGGCACAGCTCATCTCCTTCGACTGAAGGCCCCTGTGCCACCGGGTTTGACACTACATACTCTCCTCCTTTGGTTTCCTTCCTCCCCCCCCCCCACTGGACTCTGAGGATGCCCTCTGGAAACACACACTTAACTCCAACCTTCCACCTTGCTGTGATGTTGTGGCAAAGTGAAATATTGTGATGATGTTGCAGAGCTGTAGCTCTCCTTGCTCGTCCGCCCACTGAAATGTAGCAGTTGAGGTGATGGAGCTGCCATGGAGAGTACCATAACCAAGACCCCTTTCCCACTTCCTCTGTCTTTCCAGCTGATATGTATGTAGTATTTCCTTATTAAATGAATAACTGAAGTGCAGAATTAGTAAATGGTATTCGAGTTAAATTAATAAGACAATATGACATTGATTTAGGAGATTAAAAGAAGACACAAGCATCCTTTTTCTCTTATTTTTCTAAAGAAAAATGTGCATGTTAAATTCAGATTATTTTCTGCATTGAAAGTGAACTGTTGCAACTTGTTCAGTTTGGGAAGTGATAGAAAAACACCTGTATGTGCTGTTTAAGAAATTATTAGTGGCTCAAATGAGTGATGGCTCAGTAGAGAAATCAGTGGTAAAGATATTGTATAAATGGCACAAACTCACATCTATATTAGGGCCCAACATAATATTCCAGTTTTAGGTTTATAATCATCCTTTCCATGCACACAAATTGTGGCCCCTTTGTTTGGGTTTATTGTTGTGTGCAGATGGATTGTTGAGTTTAGTTTCCGAGGTGTACACTGCAGGCAATTTGTAAGAGGCCTGTTAGAAAATTAGTTGTGTAGCTAACAATCAGTGAATATAGAAAATCCATTTTCAAAACTAGTTCCCTTGAAAACTGGATTTTTGAAGCAGTCCAGAAACCCACACAGCAGATGATGTGAGCTGTGATGCCAAATGCAAAGCACCATTACACAGATGAAGGGCCTTCATCTGTGTTCACGTTCAAATTGCATCCTGGTGCCACAACCACACCTACTTGTTTTAAATTTCCGGTGTAAGGAGAGCAAGTACTACGGGCCATTTTTCTGAAGTATGTGTGACTTTTCAGAAATAGGGAGATTGAACAAGATGTGACGCATGTATGTATCCCACTTTCAGCCAGTGATTTCTGTAACTCTTCAGTTTTCATCTGTGGACTTCTTTATTCATTTTACTCATCTATCTGACTTTAACGTAATTTTAAAAATATATTTAATAAATATCAGGTTCTTATTGTCCACTTGGCTCTGTTGTTTTTTTATGTTGTACAATTTTGGAAAAAGATTTCTGAAAAAGGTGTTTGATGGGAGGAGGTTTATTCATGTAATTGGAGAGTTTTTGTCACATTTGCACATATTTCTGTGTAAATCAGAGGGGTTTAAATTGGGATTTAAAAACAGAATTTAAAGGCTATAAAATTACAACACTGACAAACAATTATGCGTAAGATGTTAAATCTCTTATAAGTATGGGTTTAGCATAAGAAAGACACAGCAGTTCAGAAATTATATAAATTAAGACAGCAAGCACAGAATAAATAACTTTGTGTCAATTTAAAAAAATAGATCCAAATTTGCAATCCAAACATCCAATGTCATTAATTTTCAACATAAAAGTGACCAGTTTTTAGTTGGAAATTTCAGCTGGCTAGCTGAACGAGATGCATGTCTTATTCATATGATATTGAGCCGTACCTTTCTGATACTGGATGCAGTCTCTAGCCTTGCTAAAGTCCACAGGAACTTCTTCATGATTGTAGTCCTAGTGTGTCTCCCAAGTTTAGAAAACATGGAAAAGTTATCTGCATTTTCTGCAGTGATGACATCATCCTCAGAGTTTTCTGAAGATGAGGCATTTGTAGTAGTCTTCCATCTCAATCTTTAAACAAAAATGCGAAAGACATTAGAATATGTTATTGGTGGTACTCCAGATGTCAGTATTGCACTACACTGTCTCACCATCCTCTCCAGACGCAGTCCGTTCCCAAAGGCCTGCTGCCTGAGCACATCAATATCAGGCAGACCCCATTCTGGATTCCTGTGCATTGGAATTGAGCATTACACCGGTTGCATTCGCACACAAATCTGTGCCCATAATGTGGTTCGTGGTCACTTCATCACTGCATTGCAGATACTTGATGTTGCAAATGTTAGACTGCTCACATTTTTCGAAGCTCTTCATCCAGGTGTTCATTAGAGTCTGGGCTGATGATGCCATTAACAGCGTACACCTGTAAAAGATTTGTAACTTTCTCAGTTTGTAAAACCCACTGTGTCAACCAGTCTTTGCACTTTACACTTGGTGAAAATATCAATTGTAAAATGAGCTCCTTGTTAGGACGTACCCCATATGTTATCAAGAGTCCATTTTGTTTGAGAATCTCACCCGCTCCACTGAAAACTCCCTTGGGGAAAATAAAGTTAATGGTATTTAGGAAAAAAAATCAAAGCAGCAACATGACCTGCAAATGTTTGTTATTGATGCCGAAGTAGCATAAGCTCTTCAGTTTAAAAAAATTATAATTGCTTACTTGTGCTGTTTTGAAGGAGCTGTACTGCAGTAGGTTTATGGCGATGATGACATCACAGGAGCTGCGAGAAAGGCCCGCCCATTTCTCCCAAGGTTCGCTGGCATCTAAGTGGACTGGCTGCAGCACCGATTCTGCTTTGGTGGCAGCAATATATGCCTTAATACTGTAAATTCAAAGACTCGTGCTTTAATTGCAGAACCTCCACTTCTGTATGAGTCTACATACTTGCATGCATCCAGTGAATTTCCTCCCACATGCATAACCCCATAGGATATTGCAACTGCTGGCAGGCATTTTCTGTAAGACACAAACCTTTCCCGAGAGTCATCCTTGATGTCAGATGGCTGCCAGGTGACAAAAGGTATCTTCTGGGCAAACCGTATGACATGCTGCCCAGTTCCAGAGCCCAGCTCTAAGGCAAACAACTGCCTGTGTGACTGATCCTCCAACACATCTTCAAGCACTGAACAAAGATCCTCCCAGTTCCTCTCTGCCTGAGGAGACAGCAGCATTGTCTGGGAGAATTAAAAAGACATTGAATTCAAATCTATTTGAAAATCATACACGTGCTCTTTCCTGACGATTCTTACCTTCAGTTGAGTTGGTTTATAGAAGTTAGAGGAGACTTGGCATATTGGAGGAGTTTATAAACGGCTGGTGGCAGTAATAGCAGATGGGTGCACAGATTACCTGGTAAAGAGGATTCCCTCAGTGCTCCTCCCACAAACACTGCAGGTAGGACACACACACACAGATGCTCAAAAACAGTATCTTGCATCATTGTTTTAAAAGGCTACAGCCAGACCCCTTTTTCTCCCCTCCGCCAGTTCACGTCTTGTGTCAGCCAAACTGTACGTTCTTATATGCCCCCTTCTCAACTGTGAGCACTTAGTGCATGAGGTCATTGCTTTAACTGAATATAGACAGCTGCTGTTTGTTGTACTCCTTTTCTTGTGTTATTCTCCTTTTCTTTGTCAAAGAAGCCTCCTCAGAGCTCCAGTGCATGCTGTTTGCAACTGTGCTGCCATGCCTTCACACCTGGAAGCTGCTTAGTGCAATCACAGCTCACCACTGTTGACCAGTGAATGGCGTTTTCCAGCAGTTTAAACTGAAATGCCTTCCACTTGGGATTTCAACGGCAGCTGTTCATTGAGAGGAGAGTGTAGCACTTTAACTCTGTCCTCGCACTTGTCATCGGCTTGTCACGCTAAAATTCCTCTCAAAGGTTTGTGAAACAGGACAGATAAGGATGAGTGCCTATCTGTGAGGGGTCTGGCGGAGGACCTAGTATTGTAAAAACCTATGTCTTGCCTCTCTTGTCGGCACATGTCATTATCAGAAGCTCTGAATGTCTGTGTTCACATATTTTTCCGTGTGAATGTGTGTGAGGCAGGAACACCTGCATGCCACGTGAACAACAGTGTGGAAAAAGCAGAGACGTGATAATGCAAAATGGCACATTTCATATCTCACCAACTGGTGAAAAATCAATGCGGGATGCCTGGAAGAATTCCAAATGAAATGTGAATCAATGCCATCTCCAGCAATGTGTATTGGGATAACTGGATGTCTTTAGCACAAATTGTTTAGATATATATTTCTCTCTCTTTATATTCATTAGAAAGGGTTTAACATTGATTTAAGTTGTATGGGGTTCATTGTTCTTTGCTACTCTTGAGCCTTCAATAGCTGTACCAGGAAAACATTCTCTTAAAGGCTTTTTTAGAAACTTTTGCACACAATAAATAATTCCAAACATCTTTCTGTCCCATGAAAATGACCATACCTAAATGTTTAGTCATCCTACTGGTTAGTGTGTGCGCTGATGAATATGCTGAAAACAAAAGTAGAGAACAGAACTGGGCTCAGCATCAGTCAGAAAAGCAGTGGCAAGCTTTGTAATATCTAATTAGTGCAATGTAATGTGGAGTTGTTTTATGTTTACAATTGTTAATATTTGTGCTGAATGTTGTATTTGAGAAAAACCCCTGACAAGCACTCAAAGTGCTTAGATTTTAAATGTTTGTACAAGGACAGAAACATATTCAACAATAAAAGCATTCCTAAAGCGATAATGTCCCCCTAAATTTTACTTTATATTTTTAAAACAGTCATATTCATTATATTATAAGTACAGTTATAAGCTACTTGTACTTTTTTCCTTGTTTACAGTTTAAAATGAAGATTTGAAAGACTAAATGTCATTTTGCAACTTTTACTTGTTTTCCCATCTGGAGTTTCCCTAAATGTTTTGAAAACCCCTGATTTTTTTTTTTTTTACAAATTCCAGAGTGATTTAAATTTGCTCAAATGGCAAGATGGCGGACTCTCACTGCAACGGACGAACAAGGTAAGGAGCCGAAGAGGGGGCTACCGGGCTACCGCGCTACCGGGCAACCGGGCTACCGGGGGCCGGAAGGGGGGCTACCAGGGCTACTTCGTCCCCGGGCTCCCGCGATACCGGGGTTCGGTGCGGTGCTACTCCGACAGTGATATCGAACCGGGGTCGGGGGTCCGGGTCTCCCCTCTGGGGAGCCCCGGCCCCCCTCCCCCGGTGGCCATTTTCCCCAATATTCCCCGGTTTTCTCGGTATTCCCGGTTTTCCGTTTTTCGTATTTTACCGCGGTTGCCCGGTAGTCCGCCCACTTCCTTGTTTTTGTCACATGACTAAAAACAAGTCACATGACTAAAAACAAACCAATGAGAATCTAAACTAAAGCAGATTCAACCAAATATCTTAAAGATTTAGGGGGGGGGGCAGCGGCATACCGGGATACCGGGCTACCGGTGCCGGGGTCCGGTAGGGGGCTACCGGTAGGGGATGCCGAGGGCCAACGTACGTAATAATCTGAGACAAAAATGATTCTCTTCCAAGGTTTTAAACTTGCACAGCCACAGAGACTGCAATTATATAGCTGTGTATATATATTTATGGGACGTGCGGTCATCCTCACAAGACAAAACATGCGATGACATATTATTATTTGTCCGCCGATCTTTATGTATGACTAATTGCGATCATTTTAATTGTCAAAATCGCTGAAATTGCACATTTTCTGTTGAAATACGGGCTGAAACGTGATGTGCGGCCGCAAGGAGCCGAGCTGAACCTCTGATTGCGCAACCCAAACTGGGCTGTTGGTGTCTGTCGGCGTATCGCTGCATGTCGCCAATATAATGTTTGCATATACGTTTCTATAGCCTGATTTTTCAGTCTGGCTAATGTCTCAACGCGGCGTCTACGTGTAGATGTTTATGACATTACAGGATCTAAATCACTGTATTTTGTGTTACCTTTAAATATGTCCGACTTGAAAATACAACTGTTGAAGGCAGTAGGAACCAACCGACCACCGTGCAGCACTACGTTACACAAAAAGCATTTTGTGCGTAACTTACTTCCATTGAATGCAGCGTTTTATTATAATAATAATCACACACAGTATATGTAATTTTAAATTAGCCGATTTTTATTTGAAATAATCTGAAAGGGTATATCTTTTGTAGGATTAATTGTTTAGCTGATGTTTCAGGATAAGCCGGGGACCTAAATAGCAACTGCACTCAGGGAACCGGCATTTGAAGGATGGTGGAAGGTACAAGGAGTGGACTGCTGAGGACTGGGGTAAAGTCATTTTCTCTGATGAATCCCCTTTCCCATTGGTTGGGACATCTGGAAAACGGCTTGTTCGGAGAAGACGAGGTGAGCGCTACCACCAGTCTTGTCTCATGCCAACTGTAAAGCATCCTGAAAACATTCATGTGTGGGGTTGCTTCTCAGCCAAGGGAGTCGGCTCTCTCACAGTCTTACCTAAAAACACAGCCATGAATAAAGAATGGTACCAGAATGTCCTCCGAGAGCAATTTCTCCCAACCGTCCAAGAGCAGTTTGGTGATGAACAATACCTTTTCCAGCATGATGGAGCACCTTGCCATAAAGCAAAAATGATATCTAACTGGTTTAAGGAACAAAACATAGAGATTTTGGGTCCATGGGCTGGAACCTCCCCTGATCTTAATCCCATTGAAAACTAATGGTCAATCATCAAGAGACGGGTGGAAAAACGAAAACCTAGGAATTCTGACAAAATTCAAGCATTGATTGTATTTCTGTATGTGATGACAACATCTGACATACACACATGAAAACCAGAAGGCAGCAGATCATGTGTAAATATAATATTTGTGTCATGCTCAATACTTTTGGCCATGACTGTACAGTCTCACAGCAGCAGAACGCCACATTCACTATGGCTTTAGCCGCATGCGGGACGCTCTTAGCGCTGTTTGTTACTTTTAGCGCGCTCCTGGAGGCGGATGGACAGGTAAACGACATATTTACCTTTTATTCAGCAGGTGCACTGGCCAGTTGATGTTGTTTTTCTTGCACGCAAATCAATCTGCATCAAGACACACACATCTCATTTTAAATGGATTGATTTCAGATGTTATAAGCTATTTTGCTATCTAAACTGCATGGGGTTTGAACTTCATTAGCAGGTGTGAACTATTCGTTTAAATGAGAGCAGCTGCAGGAAATATAGACTATGAAAGTGTTCCTAAAGTATTCTCAAACTTGTAGCTGTGCAGTTTGAAAAGAGATGCATAAGTGAGTGGTTTTACTTAATTAACATTCTGGAGTAACTGTATTTAGCCACCATGGTAAGGAGATGATGACAAATTTAAGTTTTCATAATGAAATGCTATGAAAATGGAAAAAGTTTCCTCGGCGTGGATTGATACCAAATTGGTGACTAATCTGGCTGAAAATGTTGATATATGAGCCCCTAGTGAAATTCAGTAAGGGGAAAAAGGCTTTACTTTGCCACACTACTTGGTCTGTCACCCTTCACATCATCCATGGCTCATTCATCAGGAATGGGCGGGGAAACGTTTTACAGCTAAACTGAGCCAAATCACTTGAACTCATAAACACGAATTGTTTTGGTGATGCTAAGACAGACATGATTTCAACAGAGAATACTTATATTCAACATTGGTGATTTATCTAATGTTAAGCATACTTGACAAACAGTCTGCAAACCACATCAGCACACATGTTTTAATGTTTCTGAAGAGCTGTTTGTAAAATCCATTTTCAGTGAAAGAATCCCACATTTTCTAGACAGTGAAAATGGCCAATGCAAGAAAAAAAAAAAAAAAAAAA